TCAATCCCATTCGAGAAAAATCTTTACCTTTGCAGTTAGGAGCCCACAGCAGCTCGCAGGCCAGGGCGGTCAGACGTCACCAGAGAGGCCTTTCAGCTATTAAGCTCCCTTTTCCAACCTCCCAGCTCCTTAAACTGATGCTCTCCTGGATCCAAGTGGCTACGATGCCTGCTTTTTCTCCTTTCCCCATGATACCCAATGAGGGTCAGACAGTCTGCGGGCGAGGGTATATTAATCGCTCGTTCATATTCAAAAATTCTGCTGAGTGCCTGTGACGAAGCTGGGAAAAAAGACTGCAGTTCCCCGCCAAGGAGCTCACGACAGTTCTGCTATCAAGAAGTGACCAGTCAGATGGCCAGGCTGTCACAGAGAGGGTTAGCAGATGGGCTGATTAGGCCCATCTCCCTAATCAACCTCTCATTAAGCCCATCCCTGGAGCACAGAGGAACTTACGTCACAGCAGTGCCACTAGAAACGAGTCTCACAGGGGTCGCTCTGCCCTCCTGTAATCGACCTGCGTAGCCTCGGTCGCTGCATTTCTTGTATTTCCTGTGAACTGAACCTCAGTCCACATTCCTTTGCGCTTGTGTAGCAACGTGCCAGAGCACGTGCTTCAGAGCGTACACATCGATGCGGGGGTGCACATGAAAACCTACGCGTGCGTGCACGCAGCTGCGCCCGTCTGCGTGTGCATTCCCGGGTTTACAGTCATGTGTTGCTGTGCATCCGAGAAGATGCACATACGGGTAACACGAGCCAAAAATAAAATTTAAGAAGCGCTCTGGTAAGAACTCCAAAACTAATGCCTAAGAGTATATTTTAAAACCATTTGTGGTTTCTGTTTATTTTAAATTTTCGCCATTTATCAGACGAAGGAACTGAGCTGTGGCTGAAACTGGAGCCCCATGTGCCTACTCTCAGCGGCCACACCCTGTGGGCAGAAAGCAGGGCTTGGGGGAATAATGATTATCATTCTCAATTACCCTGAGAAAGAGGCAGCTCTGGGTCAGGAGGTGAAAACTGGCAGCTGGGCCTTACGCTGCGGGTAAGGGCGGAATTATCCTCTCTGGGCCCTGGTTCTCTCGGGAAGGGGCTCCGAGGTGGCCGGAAATGCTCAAGGGCTTCCCACGTGATGGAGAGAAGCTAGGCTCTGTCACATGCGACCAGGTCAGGAGCTGAGCAGCCCCAGAGCAAGGGAGGGAGGTGGGCTCATTGCTGCTGTGCCTACAGATGACAGAAAACCCAAACGCACACAAAGAAATTCCAAAGTGCTATTCCAAGGATATTGTGGTGACTTTACCATGTAATCAGGGACCCCATCTCCTCTCTATTGTACCATCCTCGGCATTTGTCTTCCAGCCTCAAGATTACCTCATGTTCTAAGACGGCTGCTGTAACCCCTGCCATCACATACTCATTTCAGGCAGCAGCAAAGGCAAAAGGGAAGCATATCCCAGTTTGACCAGCTCCTGAAAGGAGCCTTCCCAGAAGTCTGCTGCTGTTGCATCAGCCAGAACTTAGTCTTGTGAGCACACCTAGCTGCAAGAGAGGCTGGGAAAGATATCTTTTTAGCCTGCTTCTCTACCATCTCAAATAAAATTGTTTTTCTGTAACAAAAGAAGGAGAGGATGGATATTGGGTGGAAAGTTTTTCTGCAGTAGCTGAGTGGAAATGTGGCCCATGGCAGACTGCATAACGATGTATAGTTGACAGCAGAAAGATGATTTTGGTATATACCTCCTTTCGGTTGTACTTGAGGCTGTACAAAATTGCTGTCGAGATGGGGTGGGGGACAACACAAACAAGATACCTCCTAGAGACTCCATGAGAAGCACCAGAGGGTAAGAACACCTCATAAGTGGGCGGGGGTCCTGCTGTCCCACAGGTCAGTGACCTTTGTGCTGAACATGTATACCTGTTCATGGTTATAAATGAACCATGAGGCCTGGGTGGGGGTTGGGAGGGTGGAGTATTTGAGTGACCTGAAATAATGGATACATTTAAAAATTATGTTTTGTAAAGCAAGACTCAGTTAAGACAATGCGGAGGATGCATGCATTCCAGCTTCTTAAGGTGCGCACTGGTCGGTGTTCCCTTTGGTGGCTGGTAAGCTTGGTGATTTTTCAGAGCACGTTCTGTGGGACTCCCCAGGACTCTCCATGGAGTGCCTGAGACCACAGGGAGGTCAAATGGGCCCAGCTCTGGTCCCCAAGTCCCGCTGCTTACACCATATTCATGTTTTCACATTCCATATAACTTTTCACTTGAAAAATTATTTCTGCTGCTCAAAAGATTAGAAATTACTGGCTTAGGTATTAAACTTATTAATGGTGATCATCTAATAAAAAAAGTTGGTCTCATTATCTTAAACACAGACATATTGCAGAATATCTGAATAAAAGGACATGGCTATATCATACTGTCTCTTCTCAAACATCCCAGCCTATATCAACATGCACTGAGATATACAACACCAATAACCATGACTTAGGTACTAAAGAAGGTTCTAGACATCATCAACTGAAACGTTTAGGGGGTGACGAAAAAATTGAAGACAAACTTTGAAAATTCTCATATAACCATCTGGAAAGAGGAAATTGGTGACGGAGGGAACGGACAGACGGGTGGAGTATGTGCTAAAAATCTGAATAAAGTTTTCCAAGTCATGGAGGGTTCAGAAATGGTGAACCCCAGGATTTGGTGAAACTTTCTGAGTTTGAAAGAAGCAGATACACAACAAATAAGAGGAAGTCCTACCCCACGAAGTAGGGAGCGAACTTACAAAACCTAGTACCTCACGTGGGCGTACAGGAGGAAAACATAACTGGGTACAGAAGAGATTCAGACGCAGTGTGGACCGCATGAGTTCGTCAGGTCTTGACTTCCGTGCATGGATCTTAGAGACCCGTAACAGGAAACTGGGATAAGCTAGAAATGTCTCGAAGTCCATCCTAACCTTTTTGGGTCAGTATTTTTCAGAGGAATCATTACTTTCCACACACAATCCCATAATTCTACTTTCCGACTCGGATACCGGTCAATCCATGGACCGCAGATTGACATGTATTCTTATGACACGTATTTACATAACAGCGACTGCTGGCATCTCCTCTGTGGCCAAGGTTTCCCAAAGCAGTGGGATATAAAGTCGATTTATAAGACACACACTGCTGTCACTGGCTGTGTGAGAACATGTGCGTGTTTGCGTGCTTGGCTTTATGCTTTCTTTATCATAACACAGATGATAACCAGGATAAGCAAGTACTTACGTCCCACCACGTTAAGAGCGCTTTTACTAATTGCTACAGACACGCCATCACTCCTGATTAAAAGTAAAATGTCACACCAAAGGCTGGCGTTGTGCCACAAATTAAGATATTGTAGCTACGTACAGACACTTATAGCTCTTCATTAAAGCTACCTTTATTACTGAAATTCCTGAAGGAAAAAAAAATCGACTTTGTTACTGTAAATCTAAGCCTCTATCTTCTAGCACTTCATTTGGTTCAGAAACAATGGGCTTTGGGGCACAGGAGGTGATTTAAGAATATAATCACTGCATGACAACAGAGCTGCCTGCAACTTGGAGCTCTGATTCACTGCACATCATCATCCGCAGGAGGGGATGTGATTCAATAAGAAGAAATGGTGGGCTGGGGTTCAGGCTGCTCTGGGGAGACACGAGTGAGCCCCGTGAGACAGTCCGCTCCAGCACGAGAGGCCTGTGGCCCGTCACAGGGAAGGGGCTGCTGCCGAATTAAAGAGCGGCAAGTGACCTTCCAAGGTCATCTAGTCCATCCCCCTTAGGCAGAAACTCTTAGAATCCACAGTAATTCGATGATAAGGCAGCCTGAGGGAGCGCATTCCAGAATCACTCCAACGTTGACCTTGGCTGCCAGGAAATTCTTCTTGGGTTTAATCTAATTGCTCATGCTATAGCTGAAGTGCTTTTGTTTTTGTTTTCTGTTTTCTTGTCCTGAGAGACTAATAAACTGGTCAGGTAAGGTTAAGGAACCAAAAGAACACGACCTGCCCAGAGGTGGTGAATTCAAAACTAGGAAACTCGTTCTGGACCCATTCTTCTTCCCAGGCCTAACGAACAGCAGATGCTTTTCCTGGCAGGCAGAGGGCACTGGCGGGAGGCAGCTGGTCTACCTATCTATCTATGGATGGCTAAAATTCTTGAGGTTCGGGGTACAATGCACCAGGGGATGATTTGCTAGTGCCAACCAAAAGAAGAAAAGAAAAAGTAGGGGGAAAAGGAAAAAGAGCAGCAATTTAAAAATCTATAAAGATACTGAGCTCCGTGGGTTTGAGCCTAGCACTTGAGAGTGTGAGTGTGTGTGTGTGTGTGTTGGGGGGAGGGAGTGTCTCTTTCACCCAGGTAATGACGGTATGAGCCCCATAAGGAGATGGTTAAATCAAACACCGAGAAGACTGCTCTTAAGAGGGGGGAAATATGTCAATCACACTTTGCCTTTGACACGAGGAAATTCCTTGAAAGTGAGAATGGAGAGTGAAAGGGAGGGAGACTGTCTCCTGATGTGGGTGGCCAGGAAACCGGGGGGGCCGGAAAAGCATGAGAGGGGAGAGGGAGAAAGAGACAGAGAGGGAAAAGAACACAAGATTGAATTCTAATCAAAATGCTATGAGGCGTTCACACCAGGCCTTGAGAGAATATTAACAAGGTTACCCGAGGGGGGGGCCTTTAGCCCCAGGAATTATTAGCGAATATGGAATTATATTTGCACAAACATTACCAGATGCAAGGAGCTAAATGTCCTGCAGATGTGGAAGGGGCCAGCGTGTGCTCCGAACGGGCGGCAGCTTTGTTAGTTTTACCCTACTCGCAAGCTCCTGAGGGGTTACGCTCTGGAATGACCGCCGCGCCACCAGGCCCGCTTCCCCACTGCTGCTTGCACCCCCCACCCCAAAGGAAGCATCTGCCCAGGACCAGGTGGAGTGGCCCTGAGGCAGGTTTGACCAATTTACCCACTCACCTCCACCACCTCCAGGTCTCACAATGCTTCACCAGCATCAAGGTGATCTCAGCGGGGGGTTTCTGAAAGATAAAATTGCTTGGAGTCAGGTAAATAAATCATAGCAATTTCAAATATAACCAGCTGACGCCGGAGGAAGGAGACGGCCAGGTACAAGAGGAACAAAGTTTCCTTCTGATATGCCACCATCAGATCCTCAAGACTCAAGTCCACGTAGATCCCCTACTGCTGAACGAGGCCTGTCTCGTCTCTGCAGCTGGGCAAGTTGCTGCCTTTTGGGAATCTCCTGAATTTGGAACCCCAAGTCCCCACCGCCTTGCTCGCCTCCAGTAAGCCTTGCCAGTATGGGGGACGGAACTGACAGGACAGGTAGAGGCAGGTGACCACCAAGCCACGGCAGGAGCCTCTTCCGAGGCCCCAGCAGGGCTCTATCCCTGCCTGGGCATGGTTGTATGTCTTTGTAAAGCTCACGGAACTAAGGGATTTAACACCAACTAGTTTATACTGCCCTGACTTCCCCTCGGCCCCTTTGCCCTTTATGTGGGTTTGCTTTGGAGTTGAGTTGAAGACATATTTCACTTCAGTGGAGTGGGATGTGTTACGTGGTTCACGGCACTCCTGTGTGTAGTTGATGGCTAGCCACCCAGTTTCCGGAGTGGATTCTGGAAGTGCCCCTCTGCCATTGCCTGTTCACCCAGGGAGCTGGGGGCCAAGGTGTGTCTGGGGCGTAAATGCATCTGATGATGTCCAGCCCCCAAATTAAGAAAATGATGGTGGAGAAATAAGAATTGAAATGTACAGAGTTGGAAGCTAGTGCATAGAAAGCTTATCTAAATCTTACGATTCTTTCATTAAACCCCCGAGAGACGTTTTTTCCAAAATTAACAACTGTGAAATTTTGCATACGTTACAAGCAACAAGTTCTAGTGCTGAAAAAATTTTTCTTAAACTATCAATAATAAAAAACAAATTCTGACGAATCATACTAAAGGAAAGGTGAAATATGTTTCCATTCTCTCTACACAACCAAACCAGACAAAGCATGGAAAGATGACAAATTTTCTGTCATGTGAAGAGGCCATCAAAATATGAAGCACGTATGTATACGTACATACATATCACATAGAAGTATTTCAGGTAGTTAAATAGAAATAAATAAATTAACACTTCATGTTGTTTTCCTGGAATCTGTGATATACGTGGTGTTCATCCATTTGTTAGTTATTTTTTGTGATTTGTTGTGATTTCTTCTTTCATCCAAATAACTACTACCTAATTTTATAAATATAACTGTGTGCTCTTTTTCTTAAAGAAGGCCTCCAATATTGTATAAGCTTCAGATCCAATAGAACCCAAATTTGTCTCTGGTGCTGTGTAAGCAATTTTCACTTTCTTTTATTTCCCTTATCAATTAATAAGGAAGGCCTTGTTCATACCCCTTTAAAAAGGAAGAACTTTGGTTTAATTGCATTGCTTGTATATAAACCTGAATCAAGGTCTGTCTCAGGCCAAAGGCAGTAAATTGGTCCTGGCCCTAACTGTGTTTCCCACCCCCACCAGAGGGCATGCTGATTTCCGAAGAAATCTTCCCATGCTTTGTCTAGTTGGGTTTAATGGCTTCCACTGACACCCTTCCCCCTCCCTCCCTAACCCATCTGCCCCTTGAACTGGCTCATTGTTAAAAGATCTGAAAGATCTCACTGTCAGAAAACGTCTTCATTTCCTCTGCATAACTCTGAAATGTGCCCTGTGGACCCCTCGGTCAATTCCTTCTTCTTGTGATACTTGACAATTTTTTTTTAAATGGTGTTTACACTCCATCGAAACAGGAAAGAAGTTTCAAAGCATCTGGGCTGGAGGACATACCCTCTTTGAAATCTTTTTTTTTTAATTGAAATTCGAAACACACCCTCTCCGGGAAGCCCACCTGATTAATTCCAGGCAGCAAAGCCCCGTGCCATCCTCCCAAAGTCTGCTCACGACTTGCTATTGGCTATTTGCCACCACACGGGACGTCTCTGCCTAGATGCTCTTCTTGATTAGAAAAGTCAAGATTAGCAAAGCCTAACAATCTTTACTACTTAAACTTAAATGCATATTTAGATTCCAAAACTTTTGTGGGAACTCAGGAAGTGAAGTCTGTTTTTTCCTTCACTACACCTTAGTATCAGTCATGTTGCTTTCAAAATGAAAAATATGCAAGCTCGTTTTGTGTGAAAACAGAAAACCTCCCTTCCGTGGTGGAACAAGAGCCCACCAAGCTCCTGGCCTGGTTCTGCCAAATTCTAATGTATGGCTTTAGCTTGTTCAGCGTGTGAGGGCGGCAAATGAAAATGTTTCGGTTTCTCTATTTGTAAAGTTAAGAATCGTGTTGTTCCTTTCCCAAAAGTCTTCACAAAATTCTCATGGGGAAGAAGAGATAAATGATTAATAACCGAAAGCTCTTGGCCAAACAAAAAATGCTGTAATCTCTCACTGCCACAGAAATGGGCACCCAGGACCCGATGCTAAACCCTGAGGTGGAAGGCAATTCTGATAAACTTTGGGCCCTATGCATGAATCCAAGCGTCCTTTGCTCTGGAGAGGACAGTCTGGACTCACGTGCCTTGACTTCCGCCACTGACGCCTCTGTCCATGGCCCTTCCTGGCTTACACCCAGCCCCCAGTAAAGTGAAATCTGCCTTTCTGGTTGTAAAGAAGCAACACGTGGGAAACTGTAAAATGCACCATTGTGAGGTCATCAGAGTTTAACCTCCCTTTTTTAGGGAACATGCTTGCTCGGCCCACACCACAGCGTTATTAAGAAAACTATTTGAGATCAAAACTCAGCGCTTCATCTAGTTTGGACATTTCCTCTGAGGAGCACTTGGATAGCTCTGGAAAGAGTCTGCAAACGAAAACCATTTTCTGTCGCGACTGAAAAGAACAGGCGTGTGCTTGACGAGTATACACATCTCTCTCGGTAGAACCTGTTAAGGTTATTTTCAAAGGACACCAGGGATTCAGGCATGTTCTTAGATTACTGTGCTTGTCAAACATAACCTATTCCTGGTCTTCAGGAATAACATGGCCATGTGAAATCACCCCGGACTCGAATCCGATACAAAAATAAATTCGAAAACTCTGGATGCATGCTTATTCAACCAACTCTGCCTGTACTGGACTGTCTCATCCTAAAACGACTTTCCTTTTACTCCCTCCTTTAAGAGAATGAGAGAAAATAAGACAGCTCCTGTTAGAGAAGAACCACTAGGCTTCATCATGTTTTATGAGACAGAGAATGAAACAATACGAGGAACTTGGGCTTTGGAATGAGACAGGCCTAGGTCTGGGGTCTTAACAGTGTCAGTGACTGGTCATGGGGTCTTGAGACAGTTGTTTAACTTACCTAAGTCCATTTCCTTATCCATAAAGAGGGGCTAAATATAGATAGATAGATAGATAGATAGATAGATAGATAGATAGATAGATAGATATAGATATAGATATCTCATAGTGAAGGCTGAATTAGATATTGTATAAAGTGTCTGAGAGAGTGCCCAACTTACAATAGATAATCAGTACAGAATAGCTAGTAATAATCACAAGAATAAAAATAAAAATATATTCCTGAATTGTCAACAAATCTATCATAGCAAATTAACAAAATTTTTGAGGATCTATGTGCGGGGAAGTATGGGAAGGGAAACTACAATGACATACAACAGAAAAACTACCTTCAATAATCAGACCATTTAGTGTCATTTTTGAAAATGTTAGTCAAAATATCTCTTTATGTATTTTTTGCTTCTGCCTAAAATATATGCCAACCATAGCATAAGTTCTTAAATCGGACAGGTTTTAAGTGCTTTACCATAATATACTCATTCCGCAGAAACATCGCATACCATAAAATTGCATGTTAAAATAAAAGGGAAATGGAGAAAAACATATTCAACTTTGTAACCAGAGCACTAACAAAAACAGTTATTATCGTGTGGAACATAAGCTGACCAGCCCGGAAAGCAGATCGGCTAGAGGCAGCCTCAGGGGTAATTTTAGAATGCATAGAAACGATAGTGCAGGACTTCTGCTTCTGGCCAAGATGGAGTATCAAGGACTAGATTTACCCCGTTGTGTAAAACAACCACTGAAAGGAAGAAAGGGAAGGAAGAAAGGAGGGATGGAGGAAAGAAGAGAGGGAAGGAGAGAGAAAGAGAGAGAGAGAAGGAAGGAGAAAAGAAGGGAGGAAGGGAGGAAGGAAGCCTGGACAAACACATCAAACAACAGCTCTCAAGACACTGGAAACAAGCAGTGAAGGCCACTGATCTCTGGGTGATGGAGAACAAATGAGGTGAGCTCCAGGATTGCCTAGTTTACTAAAGAGAGTTTCCAGGCCCTTACACAGAGAGAAGACCTTGGGTGGAGCCCAGTGGTCAACCCTGAGTAGAGGAGAAGCACAAGTAAGCCAACGTGGCTAGAGTTCTCAGAGCAGAGAACCAGAGAGGAGAGAAGTGCACAGAGAGAGAACTGAGATGGACAGAGTCTCCTTCAAGGCTCCAGTCAGGAACTGATCAAGCACGTGAGTGAGGGAACTGCCTGAGATTAGGGAATGAACTGCCTAGTAGGACAGGAGCACACTATCCCGGGTTTCATATAGGGCTAGGCTAGCAGCCAGTCCAATCATCCAGAGTGGAAAAATCACAATTTTAGGGGGCTGAGGTTAGTAATAAGAAGGTTCTTGCCTTGGTAGTGGGGAAAAATTAACCCTAGGCTAAATATTGTTCTAGTACCATGAAACATAGCTTAGAAGCAAGACCCATAAGTATCAAACTGTTTCCAAATAACCACATTCCAGAACAAAGTGAAACAATATTTTTAAGCATACGAAAATATGCAACATCCTACAAAATAAAACTCATAATGTTAGGCATCAAATCAAAAATGACCAGGCACACAAAGATTCAGAAAAATAAAACCCACCGTGAGGAGAAAGAAAGATCAATCAAAAAAATGTTAAAAAAACGACATAGGTAATGAGGACAGTTAGGATAACTGTGCCGTATTCCATGTGTTCAAAAGACTAGAAGAAATATTAAACGTATTAAATAAAGTCATGGAAGAAATGTTTTAACTGGTCTTCTACAGATGAAAACTAAAATGTCTGAAATAAAAAAATACACTGGATGGGGTTAACAGCAGATTAGACATCGTGGAAGGAAAGAGAAGTAAATTTAGCAATCGAAACTATCCAAAATGAAGGTAAGAGGCACAGCAATAGAAACTACCCAAAATGAAGCACAGAGGTTGAAAAAAGAAGAGCAAGAAAAAAATAAACAAAGCATCAAGAACCATGGGACAACTTCAAGCAGACAAATATGTGTAAAATTGGAGTTGCTAAGGAAAGAAGGCACGGGAGGAGATACAACATATTTGAAAACAAATGCCTGAAATATTTTCAAATGTGATGAAAAATATAAACCCACAGAGCCAAAAAAACTCAATGAACTTCAAGCACAAGAAACATGAAGAAAAATTACACCAAGGTACATCATAATCAAATAGCTTAAAACTAATGAAAAAGAAAAAAATCTTAAAAGCCTGAGGGAATGATACTTTACATACAGAAAAAGAGCAATAAAGATAACGTGGGTTTCTTTCTTGTCAGATATTATGCAAGTGAGAAGATAGTACAGAACATCTTTAAAGCCTTCAAAGAAAAAACTGTTAAACTAGAATTCTGTAATCTACAAAAATATCTTTCAAAATGAAAGTAAAATACTTTTTCAGACATATTAAGAAACAAACAAAAAAAAAAAGAAAAACTAAGATGATCTATCTCAATGGACCAAGGAAAAAGCATTTGACAAAACTGAATATACATTCCTGATTTTTTTTAAAAAAGTTTCTGCAAACTAAGAATAGAAGAAAACTTTTCAACTTGATAAAGAGCATCAACAAAAAACCTACAGCTAATATCATCCTTAATGGTGAAAGACTCTATTTGCTTTTCTTCTAAAATCCAGAATAAGCCCAGGAGGTCTGCTTCATCTCTTCTGTACAACATTAAAATGGAGGTTCTAGACAATACAAGGGAAAAAAATAATAAATGGCATCTAATTGGAAAGAAAGAAGTGAAACTGTCTTTATTCACAGATGACATGATCACCTACTCAGAAAATCCTAAGGAAGCAACAAAAAAGCTACCGGAACCAATAGTGAGTTCAGCAAAGTTGCAGGATACAAGATCACTATACGAAAACCAACTGTATTTCTATATACTAGCAACAATTAGAAACCTAGAAATACCATTTACAAAAGCATTAAAAAAATATGAAAAGGTGAAGGATAATCCTGACAAACTACAAACTACTGCTAAGAGAAATTTTAAAAGACCTAAAATATGGAGTGATACACTGCATTCACGGATCGTAAGATTCAATACTGTCAATATGTCAATTCTTTCTAAGTTGACCTATAAATTTAATGCTTTCCCAATCAAAATACCCACAGGCTTTTTTGTAGAAATTGACAAGCTGAAATTTTCACATAATTTGACAAATTTGAAAATTTATGTTAAAATGACAAGGCCCTAGAATACGTAAAACACTTTGAAAAGGCAGAACAAAGTCAGAGAACTTACAGTATCTGACTTCAAGACATATTATAAAGCTTTAGTAATCAAGACAGTGTGTATTGGTGTAAAGGAAGATAAACAGATCTATGGAACAGAATAGAGAGGCCAGAAATAGACTTGCTCACAAATGGTCTGCTGATTTTTGACAAATGCGCAAAGGTAATGAAATTGAGAAAGGACAGTGTTTCGATAAATAGTACCGGCACAATTTTATATTCATACTCAAAAAAGTGAATGTCAATCTATAACTCACACCGTATACCAAAAATTAACTCAATATGGACTATACATCTAAATGTAAAACCTGATATTACAAAACTTCAAGCAGTTTATTTGCTGAACCATGTGATGTAAGTCACAACCTAAGCACTTTAGGATGTACCTGAAAAAATTATGTGATTGTTCTATGTTTCCAGGTTACTGTTATCACACCAACAAAGTTAATGCTGATACAAGATTACTTGATTATAGTCTATATTCGAATCTCCTTAATTGACTCAATATTGTCTTATTCTTGCTATTTTTCAATCCAGGAAAAAATCAAAGGTTATGCATGGCATTTAGTTTTCAAGTCTCTTTATCACCCATAATCTAAAATAGTCCTCCTGCCCCAAGTCTTTAAACATTGTTATGACACTGCCATTTTTCAAAAGCCCATGCCAGTCGTCTTGAAAGATGTCCACTTCATGGGGTTTATATGATTTTACACTACCGCCGTCAACCAAGCACTTGTTTTTAAATTTCTTAAAATATAGCTGAGAGAACCATTGCTTAGCAGCAGCCACAGTAAAAGAATTTCTTTTCTTACTGAAGGTTCTAATCTAATTCCCGATATTCCAGTTCCCTTTGTCTAGGAAAATCATGCTTGAGTTCTGCAAATTCCATGTTATACTGCAGGCCTTTTCCTGTTTACCAATTTGTTACAGAAACATTCTTTGTAGCCAACCAAACTAGACTTGAAATGGTTGTGACTCAGTTTCCCCTTAAATCTGGACGTTGTTTTACAAAGAATTCTTCCCCGAAAAACTCTTCTACTAGAGATGATTGCGAGAATGGGACACATGGGTTTTCTAAACCAAAGGAAACGATAAACCTGCGGACAGATCCAAGTTTTCTAGTCTATGTGAGGAAGAGAGGAACAGAGCATCCTCTATCCTAGAGAAATTAAATACGACAAACACGGATTGTATTGTCCTTAAGATGCAAGAAAGAATAGCCCTTGCCTGAACCCCAGGGTTAACTGATGATAGTATTTATATGTTGTTATTTATAAAGACAAACTCCCAGTGATAGGAGCAAATGGGAAACACATGCACTATTGTTAGGTGTATACACTGGATAACATTTTTGGAGATAAGTTAGGAGATAATTATCAAGATGTAAATACATATAATCTCAGAATTGAGTCATTTGACTTTTAGAAATTTACCCTGAAGACATTAGCTTTACTTTCTCACACGTACAAATACATATTTACAAAGGTGTTCACTGAAGCATTGTTTATAATAGTAATGATCTAAAAACAATCCATATGTTGCCCAAAAAGAGACTGCACAAACAAATAATGACACTCTTTTAAACCGAGATATAGATGTTTACTTATATGTAAAGATGATTAAGACACAATAACGAAAAAAGATGAAGTTGAAGAGCTTGTGAGGAAAGGCAGCGTACGGATGTTTGTGGCGTCTTGGTAATGTGCACAGAATACTTCCAGAAAGACACGAAACAAACAGCTAATAGTGCCTCTCGTGGTAGTGGGATTCCTGAGTTGGGCTAGGATACCGAAGAAGAGAACTTCTACTTCTTGTTTTGTATTTTAAGAGTTTTTTTGTTTTTGTTTTTTACCGAGTACATACATTCTTTTTAAAACTGGGGGAAATAAAGTAAAGAAGCAATTTCCACGTTTTTGGAAACCGACTACTTACAGTTTCTTGTAAAGTAGCTCACGATGCCTTCATTTCTCGTTGTCCCCTGAAACTTTTCTGTTCCCTACATCCTTCCTTTTCAGTAGCCATTCCACGTAATGCAAGACAATGGCCGCGTTTTGTCTAAGTTACAGTAGGTCTGGAAGAGAAAAGATAAGCAAGTTGGGCTTTGTCTTACGTAATTAATTGTTGTGTTACAGTAACACACTGAAACTCCCAGGCAAAAACACCAAGATAGGCTTATGCAAAAAGAAAATGAGCAAGAAATTTGAAGTGAAGAGCCTGGGACGGAGATGTGCAGAACATCTGCCTCCCGACCAGGATCCTAGCATTCCTAATTGTTTGTTATATGTTTACTTTCTCAATCCTGGAGACCTGAAAATAGTTTTCTCACACCGAAATTACATTACAATTGTGAGATATGGATGCTCTGTTACTTTGTTATCGGGGAAGATTTGACCAGTATCTGTTTGAGAAAGATTAAGAATTACTAAAACTTACCAGACTAAGGCTTTACGAAATAATATCTAACCATCTTGGACCTACAAAACTTTTTCACAGCCACACAGAGAGATAAGTATTGGCTAACTCGCAGCTGGCTAAAGCGAAAACCAGATAGCGCTGGACTGCAGGACCATCACCGTCTCGTTCTGAGAATTCACGGCTACATCTCACAGTTGCAGCATACGATGGCTGGCCATGTCATTCCACAGCACTAACATCTTCTAAAAGTACTGGATGGCATATGTAAATTACAATAAAAATGAATATTTAACTTCATTTTTAGAATATTTAGAAGTATTTTGCAATCCTCCTGGAGAATTACAGACTCCTTGGACCGTAACAGAGCCAGGGCTAATTATCCCTGCCAGAGAAGAAGCTGGTGCCAACTGCTTCTGAGAAATCGGGAATGGTATGAAATGGCCCCGGGATGTGTCACTCTCACTTGCGTGATTTGAATTTAAAAAATTAATCAAGAGTTGACCTCCCTAAGAAGGTAGCTGAACAGTATTACTGTTCAAGGATTTCTTGAAACCCTGCTTTGCCGATTATGTGAAAGCAAAGTCTAAGTACTTTCCCCACCATCCCTGGCCAATTTCAGCGATGGAAAACCATCTGCACCCTGGCCAAGCCTGGAACAATTGAATGCTCTGTGCGACGGGTAACCACTCCTCCCACCAGTCCTGTGTCCCATCCAAACACTGACTTCTGCTTCGGTCTGCAAGCGACTGAGTGCCCAGGCAGTTTTCTGTTGCAGTCATGTGAAAACCTAAACTGATGTCTGCAGCGCACTTTACAGTTTTCAAAGCATCTTTCTCTCATAAACCTGTGCTCCTTCCCATACATAACAAGTTAGAGGGCAATTAAAATAGTTATTATGTACTCAATCTGTACCCCATCCTCAGCCTGTCAAACCAGGCAGAAATGTCATTCACTTGGTGAATATTTATTTAAGAATTGTTGAAACATTTTTATGTTTGGAAACAAATGATCGATTAATGTTGAAACTATTTTCCAGCCTTCCAAAATGAGTCTGATTTCAGATGTTTCAAAATTTGTCCAAACTAGCATCAACACTGTTTTGTGTTACTCAGTTCAATGAAGCAATTATTCACTGAGTACTCCTTGTGCGCAGGGTCTGTCACTACAAACTCAAGCAAGACTGGTCACTGCTCTGGAAAGATCTTAGGGGTCTGTGGAGAACAAAGTCAAGAGATGGGATGGGGGTGAGACGCCCTGTGAAAGACGGGAGCATAGGGTGCCAGTGGAGCACCAGGAGGGGTGCTCACCCCATCTGGGGAGAACACGTCTCTTGTGGCTTTACAATCGAGAGCCACCGCATTTTCACAGTATGTTACAGAGAAACATGCCATTTGGATTACAGAAAGTGGCGTGAAAGCATCCTGTTTGGGAAAAGCCAATGTAAACATGCATATTCCCTGTGGCTTTGTTCTTGTTCACTGCGTTTTCTCCCATGCCCTGCCCTTAGCCCATTACGGCTGTAACTCCTTAAGAGCGGCATCGGGTGCTGCTCTAAACAGGTGCCTGGGAAAGGGCCTGCCATGCCTGTGTCAAGCCAGGGCACTGGAGGCAGGGGGAGAGGGGGCCAGATGGGGAAAAGGCACCCACAAGACGGCTGGCTCTGGCTAGCAAAACACCCAGGCCAGGGACTGGCAAGCCCAAAGGGCCCAAACCTGGGTAGCCATCAGACCACTCAACTGAGATGTTACGTTTGGGATTCTCTGCTTATCGACCCCTCCACCCCAATGCCGTCTGGGTCTCCGCTGAAACCCCGCTTCCCTCCCTGGTGACACTTGCATTCAGTGGGGGCAATTTCTGTTCACTTGTGGCCCCTATTAAGCTGTAAGTGTGTGTAATTCAAGAATTTTCTTTGATCTCCAGTGTCGACCGCAGTGCTTGGCTGAGAATATCTCTCAGAGAATATTTGTTCCTATTTTTTAAATTAAAAATACTTGGAAATCCTCAAAGTAAAAAACACACATACACACAGTTGATACCACTGCTTTTTAAAAGATTTACATAAACATGTAAACGTTCCCCTTTCATATCCTTTCTTTTCCTTTTGCTGAAACGGATATATCAATATATACAGTAAATGTTGGGTGAATGAATTAATAAATGAACGAGTGAATCCACAGAGTCGAAGAGATCAAGGGAATGATGTCAGAAGCCAATAATCAAAAGGATCATCTCTCCATCGTCAGAAGCCAACAATCAAAAGGATCATCTCTCCATCCCCAGAGCCTTAACTTCATTACACCTGCAAAGCCTCTTCTGCCACGTTTCAGAGCATTAGGATGTAGATGTCTCTGAGGCCCGTGGGGCAGAGACAAAAGACCTAAGTGCTTAATGGTTCAGACTCTTCTTCTATAGAGCACCTTGACCTCATCCACTTTCTCTCTTTGGACCTTAGCTCCCTTATCTATCCGTAAGCTGGGGAAATTCATTCAACAAGCATGTTATTAGCTGTGCACGTGCTAAACTTAAGGGATACAGAATAAAACAGACAGAAGTCATTGCTCTTATGATGCTCACACTTGAGAGGAAAAAAAAATTAATTAGGCGAAACATGTTAGATGGTGATAGAGGTTACGGATCAGTGAGGAGGCCAAGGTATCCAGCACGGAGCACGGGAGGGGGACGGCAGTGGGGAGAGAGGCCAGAGAGGGAGGCTGGAGAGAGGACATACATCATTTGGGTCTTCCAGACCTGGGCAAGGACTCGGGGTTTTTCCCAGTGACATGAAAAGCCACTGGGTTCTGAGCAGAGGCTGCCCATGATCCGATATGCATTTGAATGGGTTGCTCTGGCTACCGATTGAGAGAAGAGACTGAAGGAGACAAGGGGAAGCAGAGAGAGGTGTTAACACCTTATTCTCTTTACCTTCACCTTCACCTACTGGCACCTTATTCAGTTGCAGATCCATGCTTCCTTCATGCAGTTATCGCTCCTAAGGGCACCCTGCTCCTCTTCCCAACTCAAAATCCCATTCAGCACCTGCTTCGAGAGCCAGCTCAGCCCTCACCTCAGAGCAGCCAGGGCACTCGGGGGATGTGGTACCCTTTGCCACCATCTCTGGATGAGGAGACTGAGGCCCAGCCCCTTAGGAAGCCTGTCCGAGGTCATACAAATCCTAAGCAGTAGACCCAAGACAGCCCCTAAAGTGTAATTCGAAGGAAATTAAAAGATCTTGATACAAAGACATTTTCCCTGAAATTTGTTTGTTATTTGCAGAGTACCAGGAGATCCTCAGCTTAAAAACATGACACCTGTATGAGCATAAACTTAATAGTTAAGGACTGAAAGGATCCTTGGGCATAAGCTGGTTCAACCATTGCCATTTTTTTTTTAGATAAAAAAACAGGCTGAGAGGTTCAGGACTTCTGAATGTCACTTTGCTAGTTACAGCAGAGTCAGGACTGGGAATAAAGTCCAGTGGTCCTCTCAGTACCCCCACTGCCTCCTAGAACACGGCCTCTTCCCTCTTGCCTCCCACTGCCTCAGCCCTCCGAATGGAAGTTGATCCTCTTAGATGCAAAACTGATATGGACAGATGCTTAAAAAGAGATGCTGGCATACGGAAAACTTGATGATAAATAGGGAAATGATGCAAGCACAAGGCCTAAATCCAGAAATAAATCATATCTTCACATAGTGTTTACAGAAATTGTGTTTTGAATAATTTCCATAGAAATTATTTTACCCACCACAGGAATGCTGCTCCCTCCCACAGGGATTTGACCAAACAAAAAGAGAAGCAGAATGGAGGAAAGGCAGTAATTTAGATTTATATAGAAAACATTAGTTGGAACTTAAGTAATAACCCTCAACTCATCAGAATATTTTACGCGTTCTGCTTCTTAGTGGAAAGAGCAGAACCACAGGAAAGCAAGCATGTATCAGAGATTTTAAAAAGGTTTCTAGGGCTTATTTTGGGCTTTAAAAAATGTTCCCCAATTCCCCACACTGTCTATCTTTAAAATACGTCACCATACTTGTCCCTCCTTCCCTCACATGTGTTCATTTGTCCCTCTAATCAACCCGCCAATGCTTGTTGAGCCTTCCTCTGGTGTCCCAATACTCTGCTATGTCGAAGATGAAAACACGGCCTTGCCTTCAAGTTTAAGTCTGGTTAGAAAATTTTCCTAAGAAGATGTAGATTTTTATCATTTTTTTTCCCAGTTACATTTCTGGTTCTGTAGATGGACAGTAGTTCTGTACTAGATATTTCCACCTGGCCTTCCAGATCCACTGTCTACTATATAGCATCCTACGTTGGCCTCCTGGGGGATGGAGAAAGAACTGACCTCTATGGATGAGATAAATCAGGTTCCTTTATCCTAAGGCTCAGCAAATGGGAGGAAACGGAAAGATCAGAAGATCAGAGAAGAGGAGAAGAGAGAGAGGCAGGGTACTGCCCCCCACCAACACTCCAGCACACACCCCGGTCCCCATGGGTGGACAGTGGGTACCTTCCTTCCCTAAAGACCACAGTGCCTGGTGGATAATCCTCTCTTAGAACCCACTTTTGGATTAGCAGCTGTCATACAAATCATTGCGACTGCCAATTAGAAAATAATGAGTATATTTCTGAGAAACAACAAAAAGCAATCCAGTTGGGAACTCAGTGAACTGCTACTTAAAGTAGCTAGATAGAACGAAAATAGGTCAAGAGACTCCTCCTACTTACCCTTTGAAAACAGATCTGTGGAAAGCCACTCCATGTTCACTTAGATGAGAAAAGATTCACATTCTTTGTCTATCACAAACCTAACCTTGCCATGACAAGATGACAAGCAGGGCCGATCTTACTTGGTTGACAGTAGGTGCCTGGAGCACAGTCTTGAGGGCTATTTTAGGCCCATTCTCTGTATCTGTATCTCAGTACCTGCCATGGCAGAGCCGAGGCTGTCCTACTTCCGGCACACCATGAGAAGGCAGCGTTCTTTGGAAAAGACAGTCAAACTGGAGAAAACAGAAGGTGGCCGGAAAAGAGGAAGATGAAATATGAGATGGACTGGCTCTATAAAAGAAGACACAGGCATGGTTCTACAGGAGCTGAGCAGGGCTGTTGAGGACGGGACACTGGACATCACTTATTCATAAGGTCACTGGGAGTTGGAGCCAACTCGATGGCACATAACACACACATCTGCCATGGGCACGGGGTCAGGGGATATGCTCTGAAATGTGGATCCTGACTGCAATATCTAGCTCTGTATCTTTAAATGAATCTAATTTTGGATCAAACAGAAACTAGTTCCTGGAACCATAAGAGTTACAATGTATATCATCTAATCCTCCTATTATTTACTTATTTTACAAATAAGGAAAATAAAGGCACATAAAGGTTAAGTGGTTCACTGAGATCAGTAACGGTCTAGCATGCAAATTTTCTCTGAGTTCATGCTCAGTTCTACTTATTATGGAAAACACAATAAGTGAAGGAAAACGTAGCTGACTGCAATTGTCAGTAGCTTTTGGAAAGTCCGAGGGACTCTAACTGGTGGAGACGGGTTACGACTGAGACAGCGGGGTTAACACCATCCCTGTTTTCAGAGACATCCAGATAATTTTTGATGTTGTTTTTAAAAAGATCAAGATCTAAGCAGCAGCCACCACTAGGATCCTCGCATTACCCAAGATAGACAGGCTGTGGGACGGGAAGGGGTCTAGCGTAGCTTGATTACACAGACAAAACAGAAAAAGGCCTGTCTCTGGGACACTCCAGTCAGCTTTTTGGAGACCTTGCTACAGTTCTTCTTGTAAAATACAAACTCAAAAGTGGGAAGTCTGTTCACTGTCATGAAGTAGCTGGAAACAAAGGGTGGTGATTTAAGGACAGAATGAGTGTGCAGATAACAGAGGTCTTCTCCTCAGGGCCATGCCATCTGGAAAAGCTACAGCATGCAAGCAGAGACAACCAAGCAAAAGGCTCTTTCTAAACTTGAATTTGCTAATTTCTAAGCTCCGTTTCCTCCATGGAGCACATGTCCTAAGACTGAGGGTGAACGGTGGGGACGGGGAATATCGAAAATAGTCTCTTACGTTTCTCCAGAATTATTTTCTCCATTCTAGATCCGTACTTCATGAAAGGAGTAATTCTCCGTCTTCTTTGAAGACTTGTATTCTAATGTTGAAACGGCAGGCTGAAAAATTATCAAGAGAAAACATTAACTATGAACAGGAATTCCAGGGTCTGCAACATGCCATGTAATCCACCCTCCTCCTGGTTCTGCACACTAATGACTCTTCAAGGAATGGAGTCAGTTCTGTGACGATCGATGGACACAAATTACTCACTTAGGTCTGCACTGACACTCCCCACCCTCCCTACCTGTTAAGAAGTTAAATCTGGAAAAAAACTATGGCCTCAGCCCTTAATTTTAAGGAAAAGCCATTCTGAGAAAAATTCTATTCTGCTATCCACATTGGCTGGTCTCTCCCTTAATTTTGCTAGATGGCGTCTTCCAGGAAAAAAGGTAATTGCAATTTCTTCCTTAACAACCCTGAGTAGATTTCCCAAAAACCAGATAAGCCTCCCACACAAAGAAGATGCTATGACTTGCATTTCCTCAAAAACTACAGCATCTTTTATTGTCAGGGGTGGAAAGATTAGAGAATCAACTCTTTAAAAATCAGCCACTTAGTTGTTCCATGAAGCATGGCACAAGGATGAGCCTTACCCTTGGACCAGCCCTAGCCATGGCTACTTCGGCTTTACAGAGCTGTCACTTAAAGTAGGGCACTCATCTGGAAAAAGTTCTTCCTATCTCTGCTCTTATTTGTTAATGTGATTTTTGTCAAGATGCTCAGTATCGTTGGACCAGTTTCATCAGCTATAAAATGAGGGATAGAACTAGAATTAAGCCTAAGGTGAAAAACAACAATCTCCAAATCACTATTATGGTTTCCCACATATTTCAATGACTCTTGGTAGTTATCTCACTGGAGGGTAGACTCTGCCTCACTTTAAACCCTTATAACAAGTCCAGTGTAAGACGGTATGGTCAGAGAACTGTAGCTGCACCCAATACTAAGAAGAGAAAGTTTGCTTTCATTATAGAATCTCTTCCTCGATATTTAAAAAACACATTTGATATAAAAACAAGGTCAGAGGTGAATGGACTGTGCTTTAAGTAAGTTTTGAACACAGATGCCATCTAGTCTTTTGCATTCTGCAAAATTCTTCTCTAAGTGAATAAATGTGTAGGCTAACTCTCCATTACCTTCATCAGCATCTAATTCCAACCTGACACTTAGAATTAAATTAGAGAAACAAAATTGATACTTTGAGACTTGAGGGCTGATTATACTACAAGAGCTAAAGGTGGATTTAAACTCCTTATCCCACTTAAATCTAACTAGATATAAACTCTCCATTACTGGAGAATAGAGGTGTGTCTGCAGAGGTGGGGGTTCCCCTTGATGTCTTGGACAGGGAAACCTAACCCTTTCTTCTGACACACATGGTTGCAATAGAAAGCGTTCCCCAACTGCCAGTCTGGTTTTAATCTATTGTTTCAAGCAGGACAGATTTGCAGGGAGTGTTAAGAAAAGAGCAAAATCACCAGAACTTACTATAAAAGTGTTGATGAGAAATCAAATTTTAAACAAGTATTCAAAATGGCAGGCATGAACATATATAGCCATACTGTACACGCTGTGTGACTATAAAAGTTTTTAAGTTTATCTAAAGTCTGCTTTCAGTATTTATATCTCATTTTACTAAAATTCTTTGGCTTACCAAATGACAGCAATGGTAAAACATTGCAATAAATACAGTGGTGCTTCATTTAAACACCGTCGGACAACCAACTAGTCCGTAAGTGAACTTCTCGTTATATTTTTCTTTAAAAGATACTGTGAATAATATATCTTTTCCTGAAGATTCAGGATTCACATTTTAAATCCTTATTAAAATGTGCTGAAAATGCTGCACTTCTAGAAGAGCACAAGACAGTGAGCTTAGATGATAGTGAACTTTTTGGTGATACTTTCCCCAATAGCAAAAGGTTTCAGAATGCTGTTGTAAAAAAGTACGAAAGCAGACATAGCTAGCTCGCTTATAATAGGTCTGGTGTCTTTTCTGCTGTCAGCTAGCCCTCCTGGCTGTTAAAAGCATACCGATCTCTGACAATTAGCCATGTACTTTGTCGAAATAAAATATAGATTTAGAAGATATGCCCATTCTAGGTAAGGGATTAAAATATATGCTATGGGAAATGTCAAGAGTCACCAGGTCACCACTGTAGCGGGGAACACGATTCGTTACTTCTAAGTATGAAAATAATTTACTTTGGAAAAAATACAGATTTGAAGTGATTATACTTGTGTTCTGATATACCTTCTTCAATTGGAGTATGTGTTCCACGGAAATATTCTCAGTCATGATGGTCTTGGCAGATGAAAGCCTAAATTTGCTGTGTGAGGAAACAAAATGGGCAGGCCCTTTGACGGCTTTCTGCTGTAACCTTCATCCTATTTCTAGGCTTTATCTTACAGTTGGATGGCTTAGGACATCGTAAATCGAATCCCGCTAATTCCTAAGGTCACTGAATCTAATTAATAACATATCTGTAAAAAAACTATTTTCATGTTTTGCTAGGTGTATGAGCACAAAGCATCTGGGCATTTACAGAACTGCATATTTACAAGGGATACTTATACCGTTATAAATATCAGTCATCACTTCCACTGGCAACATCTCTTTCCTGGGTTTCAGTATTACCACATTTTGGGGAGGGGGGGGTAACTATCTTTTGGCTACTTTTTAATTTCCATCATCCAACCATCCACTTTTATTCCACAAACACACTACCTGGCAGTCTCAGACTTCCTTGGTGTCAATTACGATCTGCTTTGTAGTTCAGACCTCTCTCCTGAGCTCCAGACCTACCTACCTAATGGGCGTCATATTCGGGAGTACTATAAGCACCTCAAATTTAACAGACACAAAATCAAACTGATAAGTTTCATTTAAGAATAAGACTCAATTTCCTTAGCTCCTCCCAATCCCGTCATCCCTACAATTCCTTCCCTGCTTATTTCTATATTATATCAATTATGCTTAAACTTCACCAGTACTTTGTACCATTTGTGAGATTTTTAACGTATGGTTTTAATTTATAAATTTTAACCTGTTAGATTCATTTCTTTAAGAATATGGGCATCCTTATTCATCTCCTACCTCTGCCTACGGAAATGTAATTTTCAGTATTCGTTGAATGGATAAACACAACGAAACACATAAAAGAATTCTGATAAATTTCTTTGTTATATTTTACTGATATCTATCTGATATTTTACTGATATCTTTCTGATCTTTGTTATATTTTACTGATATCTATCTGATCTTTCTGGGAGCTTTCTGAGTGCATTCACAGAAGCAAGAGCACTATTAACCCCTCCATTAATTTAACCCCAAACACAGAACTCTTCCATCAGGTATCACCTTTTTCCGAGGGCTTCCCTGGACCAGGCTGAAGTACCACAATCCTAACCATCCCTCGTCCCCAATCTTGGTGTTTGCTCCTGTAACACCTAAAACAGTGCATCATTTACTTATCCACTACCCTACAAGACCATGCACTTCCCGAAGGCAAGATATTTTCCTTTGCACCTTCACTACCTAGCAGATGGTGGGGTTCAACAAACGTCTGTGTTATCAGATGAATTGAGGCCCTAGAGGTCTCAAAAGACCACTTACTGCTCTCTAAAAGGACTGGGAAGGCCCCGTTCCTAGAGAAACTTTTTAAAAGATGCCTCTGGATGGCTAGGATCCGAAAAGCAACTTACTTGACTTTCTTCCTGTCTAAAATGCCGCTAATATCCCCTGAGAAACCTCTCCTTCCAGGAAGCCTGGGCAAAGACTAGGTCGCCAGCGCAAATGCTAAAATCAAGCCCCACCCCATTCCTATCCCCACCTGCTTTGCAAAGACGATTTCCCTCTGCACAACTGCCCGCGCCCGAAGGCATTGGCGCATGCTCAGCAAGCAAAAGAGCTTGCAAAACTGGGACTGGATCTCCGAGCAGACGTCACTCAAGAAAAGAAAGCTCCGCCCTTCTCAAGATGGCGCTGTACTCAATGAGAAAGGCGCATAGGTGCTGGAGATTCATCCGGGCACTTCATAAAGCACCTGACGCTGCTCCCGCTCCCCAGGTAACCTAAGCTGGCCCTTCTCCCGCCGCCTTTCCATCCCGCTGGGTCCTTCTCATCCTCTCTCCCTCCCTCCGTTTGATTTTCTCTTCTCGTTTCCTCTGGAGAGTCCCGGGCCGTTTCTCTTTTAAACCCAACTCGCCGAGACTGCCCTCTTACAACGGAGCGTGGTGACGTAGCAAGGCTGCGTGATGACGTAACGCGCCCCTGGTGGGAGGAGCGTGCTGCCGTCTGCCCGCTAGGACTGCCCACCTTTTCATGGTCCTAGTACGGTTCAGCTGTCCATTCCCAAACTGCAAGCCGTGGGGGCCCGCGGAGAAATTAGAAAAGACTCCCTGTTGTGCATTGGGAGGTTTAAGTCTGTGCAGCCGCTTGACGCCCTCCCTCCGGCCGTGCAGTGCTTGAGCAAATGGTGCACCTTCCGCTCTGGTTCTTCGTTGCTCCAAAGTCGATCTGTATCTAACAGGCTTGTGAGGAATTGCTGCAGACTGCCGAAATGCGTCGTCTTGCCCTGCGTCTGGCAGCCCTGCTCTGTCGTGCTGAGGGCATGACATGGCCTTCAGTCTGTCTCGTCAGTATTTGGAATTTTACCTTTCTGGCAAAAGAAAAAAATATGTATCTCCCCTTTCATTCAGACATTTACTTCACTCATTCAAACGTTTACAATACGTCTTCTAAATGCAATCTCAGTGGTAGACACTTTGCCGTGGGTCTCTTGGGAAATGTCTTCTGGGCACTAAAGAGAAACGAGATTCTGTGATTATTAGGTGATTTCTTGGCATCCTTGCATATTCATTGTTGTAATGCGTAGGTGTGAGGATTTTGTATGATAACGTGTAGTGAAAAGAGCACTAGACCGGAAGTTAGGAAACCAGAGGTCAAGGGATTTGTCAGCCACTTACTAGCTGTGTGGCATGACGAGTCACTTCATCCCGCTGAGTTTATTCTCTAGCGATGTGGGTGGAGGAAGGGTTGAGCTGATGAACGCGTTAATGTTCCTTTAGGCTTCGGAAAATCTGGGGCTCCATAATGATGAAGCCAAAGTACAGCAATGAGATTAATTGTAAAAACCAAGATTTAAATCCAACTTGTTTTTCTAATCATCTCATAAATCACTTTAACTTCCATACTTAAGTTTTCTTCATTGATACGAGCCTTGCAAGATAATGGTAAGAATAAAGGATGTTATATCAAAAAGCTCTTCATCAACAAAACAGCTATTTAAATGTTATTTTAAATTTTAGCCAGCAATGTTAGGTAAGGACGAATTCAAAATTAGGTAAATCCATCCAGTACTCCTTTCTTTGAAATTTGAGGGTTTGATTCTGCAGAACCAGAATTGCTTACTGTATTTATAGTGGATAGTAGCATATTAAAATCTATGATACCAATGTTACTAAGCCTTAGACCCCAACTTCTTCTCATTCCAGACTCTGAGATGAGGATATCATGAGAAATAAAGAATCAAGGAGAAAAGAAAAATTAGAGCCCACTAATGATTGCCCAGGGAGATTAAGGGGACTGAATCATTGTAAATGCTAAAGCAAAGATTTCTTAAACCTCTATTATTGATTGTTTCAGTGGTATTTATGAATATGATTATCTTAAAGTTAATCAGCTGTTCATCTAGATTGTTTCAAGATGTAGAATTTCCAGGACAGGTTAGTGTTTCCAAACCTTTGATTTAGCTTTGAGTAGAATAAGAATTAAATGTGAGAGCATCTTTTGAAGTATAAACCTACATATAATCTTGTCATCAAGTATGATGGTTTGAAGGACTAATGCTATCTTTTGGAAGACCAGTTGAGAAAAGATACAAAATTGCATTCATAGTGTCGCTATAATATTATATTTGGAAGTAAATATATAAATATATGCACAGAAAAAAGAAAGACTGGAAGGAAACAACCATTCTTAACTTTTTTGTTTTGCTTTGGTCTTCCTTAATAGTAGATTAAAAGTGATTTAAGTTTTCTTCTTTAGGGTGTCCATATTTTTTTACATATTCTAAATTGAAAATATATCACTTTTAGACCCAGGATAAAGTTTTAAGTGCATAGTCTATCATTAATATCATCTGTGATATTTTAGGTCTCTGAGAGAGATACTTGTCCCACACTGCTGTTATTAAAATGGCCTTAGAAAAGGACTACTAAAAATTTATGGCCACTTTTCCTGTATGTATCTTCTTTTTCTCTTGAAAAACTTCCTTTGAAGTCAAAGAGATTTTGTGAACAGATGCAGAAATATGTGAAGGAAGAATTGGATTCTTAAACCAGATGCATTAGACATTTTTATGATATCTCATAACCTTTGTAGAAAACAAAAATTATTTTGCAAGAGTATAGTGTAATAGAAAGAAAAGTAGATTTATCATATATCCATATGATTCTATCTAAAGCTAAGGAAGAGCCAAGTTGCTCGTTGTTAGTTTTGGCTGCCAAGTTACTCCCTGAGGTGAGACATAGAAGTGGAGGAGCCATAGCTGCTTCATTGGAAACTGCTATAGTATTGTGATTCCTAGGTTGTCTTAACGTTTTCTTTAAAAAGCAAAATCTCAGGTAATAAACTCGGCATTGGGGACCTTTAGTTATCTCGGAGAGAAGCTTTTACCCCTCAAGGCTAGATGTAGACTCCAGTTTAAAATAAAAAATAGGGAGAAAACAGAAATAACAGTTGATCAAGCAGTACTCATTTCGAGATGCCTACAGTTTACATAAAAGCGGTTTATTTTGCCAGGTGTTGCCTGAACGAAAACTGTTGAAGTCTGACAAGATGAGAGTGGTCTCGGAGTCAGAATGAAGATCTGACATGTTATGTTTAAATGCTGATGGCATTAGGTAAATAAAAGCCTGTCGTCATCAGCCAAACACAGAATCAATACTTTTTTTTTTAACACTAACTTACGATTTTATTGTGCAAAGAGTGAAATATTGATGGTTAGTAGAGTTTTGCAAGAATATTTATAATCGTTTGGTGGAAGTATAAAATGTCCTCGTTTTATCACACCAGAACAACACACTTCCTTATTACCTGTCCCAGCATGGGTTCGGCCAGTATTAACATACTGTTCTTACTGTAAATGGCCACCAAGTATAGCCATTAGATGAAGGAATCACATCTGCAAAAAATAAAATAAAATAAAATAAATAGGCGATGTATTAAATTTTTGATCCCGCGTTTAGCTCTGACAACAAGGCTTTTTAAAAGCTGCTCTCTTTTTTAACTTTTTTATTTTAAAATAATTTCTATTTACAAAGTTGCGAAATGTGTAGAGTATTCCTGAATACCCTTCATCAAGCTTCCTCTTACATGAACATAATCCAGCAATCAAAGCCAAAACATTAACTTGGTACGATACTAGCTACAGACCTATTTCAGATTTCACCAGGTTTTCCGCTAGTTTCTCCTGGTCCAGGATTAAATCCAGGATTCCATGTCTCCCTCGGTCTGTGGTCCTTCTTCAGTCTTTCACACCTGGGTACTTTTGAAGAGAATTGGTCAATTATTTTGTGGAAAGTTTCTCAATTTGGGTTTGTCTGATGTTTTGTCATGATTAGACTGGGTTATGGGTTTTGACAAGTATGCCACAGAAGAGATATTGTTCATAACCAGGCTTTAAGGTGGGTATTAGGACCTTATTTTAAATCACGAGGAAATAGACCTTAAGTAACTTGCCTAATGTCACAAAACTAAATAATCGTGGAGTCAGGATGGTAAAATTGACCGTTGGGATTTCGGTCCATATGTTGCAGTGAGTATTTGTTACTGTAGGTTTCTGTGATCATAATGACATAAAAATAGGGTGGTGGCCCAGTCATTTTTCCATTCGCTTTTCTCTGCCATGTACTGTCCGTCCAACATGGTACATGATCTAATCAGCTGATCAGGAGCTGCACTAGCTGTCTGGGAATTTTGCTAGATGATAACTGTGCCCTTTTGATTAGGCTACTTCAGCTCTGAGCTTATCATAAATGATAAGTAAGGGTGTCATGTGGATCCCCTCCAAAGAGCCTTTTGAGCTCAGTCTGTAAGTCTATTTGTTCAAAATGCTCCCTAGGTTGGTCTTCCTCGTGAACTGACTTAGCTTATTAGAAATAATAATATTTAAATTTTTGAAAATATCTTTGCGTAACGAATGACAATTACTGATAGTAATTGCTGAAAATAGAGAGGAAGAACAGCTGATAAATGTTGAGGCTCTATGCTAGCAAGTATTATGGCAGCCACAGCCAGGAAATGCTGAAGAGAATGAGGCTGCTGAGCCCAGGTCCTTTCTCAGGAGATGTGCTGCATGGCTGCAGGTTACAGAACTGTCTACAGAGGCTTACACAGTTAGCTATTTATATATGTATTTAAGCCTGTGTACATACATATCTTCTTGTCTTTCAGAACAGGAACTAACTAACGTTGAGCTAGTGCCTGCTATGTGCTAAGGCCTTGTGTGCTATGTGCTATACATACTATATTATTGACTTCTCACAGCAGTCCTGGAAATATTATTCTACCCATTTTATAAAAGAGGAAACTAAGGCACTGAGAGATTAGGTCACTTTCCCAAGTCACAGAGCTATGTGCCAGGATTTAAACTCAGCGTTGCCGGTGCTTTTCCCACTTGACCCATAGTGGTCTCTTATCAAATAAAATCTTATATGAACCCCTGTTAGATAAAGCAGATCAATGCAGAGCTTTTCTGGTTTAAGGAGTAGAGAACTAGCTCCAGTCCTGCTTGTGTGACCTCTCTGCCCCCGTCCCCCTCAATGCCCTTCCTCCACACACAACCAGGGGCCACTGAGATGGTGCCACACAATCTTGGATTTCTTGTGATGAAGTTTGAAAACGATTTCAGCTTCCTTAAATATCCAGGTGGGTTTGTTGGCTCAGAACCACGTGTGATGGATTCTTTTTAAGGAGCTGCCCTGTAAATGAATAGTCTGGGAGTATTTACTTTGATATATATATTTTATCAGTGAGATGCAACATATATTTTATTTATCTTAAGC